GCCTAGGCCTATTTTAAAGGCTTATAGGGAATTTAAGTGCTGCACGGGTGTTGTGTCAGTCCTCTGCACAGGGCTCAATTTTACATCCCTACTTGTAAAGGGGATTTTTTTTTTTAAACCAGACAAAGTCAGATGTTCAAAATCTCAGTAACTGATCAGTCACCATACAAAAGATACCAATATAGACACCAAGGGATATGTCCTACTATTTGTCTAACTCTCTGGGTTCCTCAGTAAATCCATCAAATTGGTCTTACTTTAAATTAGTACATTAAGAACAGTGCCAGGAACCAGTTGATCTCTGAATAAAAACAAGAGTCAGGCTGAAGCAGACAATCAAGTGAATGAGTACATTTGAGCTTGAGAGTGCTACACATAATTCTCAGATAGGCAGGTATATTCATTCTCAGATGCTCCAGAGGGATAATAATACAGTTGGTACAGCCAGAGTACATCTCAGCTGCTGAGCTAAATAGAACTTTCTCCTGTTTCCTTTTAAAACATGTAATATTGTGTTAAACTGAAAATTGAGACATGTCTAGGACTTTTGAAGGTCAGAATTATGCTGTACCTTTATGTATTTTGCTCTAACACTACACAGTTCTAGCTATCTCTGAGTGCATATCATTTTAGAAGGCCTTTTTGCTCTCCAAACACCCAAAAAGCAGACAAGACTAGAGTTCTGAAATTTTACAATCAGATGACATCTCATAAGAGTATATATGAATTGTAGACTGAATGGCATATGAAGCAAGTATAAACGAACACAACTGGCCCCCTCTAAGGCTCTTCCTCCATTTTGATCAAATTAATATAAGGAAGGTGCAAATCAGGTTGACAGCCTGTATTCAGATTATTGTAGTTATTACTGATTTGAAGGACACAAGAATTCAAAATGAGCTTGACAAACAGGAGAATTGGTCTGTAATCCACAAGATGAAATTCTATAAAGAAAAGTATTATACTTAGAAAGAAAAGAAAGAAAACAAATCAAACGCACAATTACAAAAATGGGAAATAACTGGCTAGGTGGTAGTACTGATAAAAAGGATCTGAGGGTTACAGTGGATCACGAATTGAATGAGAGTCAGCAATGTAATATAGTTGCAAAAAAAGGCTAATATTCTGGGCTGTATCAACAGAAGTGTTGCATGTAAGACACGCAAGGTAATTTCCCCCTAAACTGAGCACTAGTAAGGCCTCAGCTAGAGAACTGTGTCTAACTGTAGAAGCCACACCTTAAGAAAGATGTGGATACATTGGAGAGGGTCTGGAGGAAAGCAACAAAAAGGATAAAAAGTTTAGGAAACCTGACCTATGAGGAAAGCTTTAAAAAAAAACCTGGGGATGTTAGTCTTGAAAAAAAGAAGACTCGGGGGGACCTGATAGTGATCAAATACGTTAAGGGCTGTTATAAAGAGGATGGTGATCAATTGTTCTCCACATCCACTAAAGGTAGGACAAGACATAATCAGCTTAATCCACAGCAAGGGAAATGTAGGTTTGATATTAGGAAAGACTTCTAACTATAAGGCTAGTTAAGTACTGGAATAACTTACAAAGGGAGGTTGTAGAACTCCTATCATTGGAAGTTTTTAAGAGCAGGTTAGACAGACACCTGTCAGAGATGGTCTAGGTATACTTGGTCCTGCTTCAGTGCAGGGAACTGTACTAAATGAATTCTCAAGGTCCCTTCTATGATTCCAAGTCATTTAATTCAATTATCCAACAAGTAAGAGATCTGTAAGGCACATGCCCCACACTACCTTACCAATTTTAAGCTTGTCCTTAAGAACAACTGTCAAAAATGGATTTGAAATAAACTAAATCCTGAGAGCCCTCATAAAGGCTACTTAAATTAGAAAGTGACACAGCTAATCAGTTTAATAAAAGTATCTATTCTTAACACCAAAGTTACAGTACAACCAGCATTGCTCACTATACTCAAGTCTCACACTTCCAATGAATCACTGAATTTTAGGTTTATATGCAAGTGGCCTTTCTCCAACTATTCCCTACAAATTAAGGCCCCAACCTTGCAATCAAACCCAGTTAGGTCAAGCCTTGCACCTGGCATGGAACATCCCCAAAGTCAATGGGGCTGAGCATGGGTACAAGGGTCCACCCAAGTGGCTCTAACTGTAAGATCAGGACCAAAGACTCTATAGCCTGGCACTTTTTAGAGTTTAAGATTCTTATTTTAATTATTTTCTTTTTTCCACAAATGTGATAGTTTTATTCCTGGTGACAAAAGCAGTCTTTAAGAACAACACAAATCACTGGCAGATCAAGTTTCTCATGGTGAGACGAGGGACCAGGTGAAACTGGAGTGGTATGTTCAAATACTCCACCCATGAATGAAATGTACCCTTTGTATTTCTGTTAGTTTGTAATTCTATCTGTATTTCTGAGGTTCTTGTATGAACTGCCTATACAATGAGTGAGTCTACTCATACAACTAGAAAAGTATTGCAAGTAATAACTTTCAGCTCACATAAGCTAGAAACTAATTGGCACAATATCTAATAGAACTGACTCTTAGTCAAGGAATTAACAGCACAGCAAGATATGTAAAGTAGGACATTGAAAATCTTCATTTCCATATGTGGCACCACCACATACACAAACACACTTTACTAGCGATGTATAATAGAAGTCCATTTACTCCAATAACATATTCAGATAAGTCTTGCAACTGGACTTACACAAATGCATACGTTTTGAGTTGTCAAATTCTGGAAGTTATGGCTTTTGGGACTGCAGCATTTAGGGACCAGAATGATCCCTGGGTCACACCAAACTGTAATCAGCACAGGACCTTGGTGGGGGGAAAAGGACAAAAGATGCCAGCTTTGTGCATGCTATATTCTAGGGACTGTTCTAATCCCCATATCTCTAGGGCAGCTTTAATTTATGTTGATAGTAACAGTTCCCTAGGGGCCATACCACTAACCAGATATCATTGGAGGAAAAGGTGCTTGGGCCATGGCCCTTTTTCCCAGCATGCCTTGACACATCTATGCTGGACAAGTGGCACAGAGCTGGCTTTGTTGATTTTACACTACCTGAAAGTTACCTTGCTATCTAACTAGGGCATCTTTATAGTCCCTTTGGGTTTCTCCAGTGAAAAGAGACCTTATTGGGGGTCAGGACCTGACCCTAGTTTGTTTGTTTGTAATTTGTGTTTATATTTGCTTATCTGGCCTTCGAGATCTGTTGTGGCATTACACAAATATTCAGTTAGTATTAAGAAAGTGATGCCAGAATTGGGAAAACAGATTTCCTGTAATCTAGAATTAAATTGTTATATAGGTCTTTGAAAAAGAGGCTGTGATTACATCCACAGGTCCTAGTGGATCTTTCTAAACAGCTTTGCTAAGGGCGTCATCACTTCAGCAGTGTCAAGACAACCATTGTACACATTCAGAGACACCACAAGGGAACAATGTGAACAAATCAAAATTCCTAATACATTAGGTTTATAAATGCATTGTGAAGTAGTGGCAATTATAAAGGGGGACTGTAACGCCTGAGGAGACAGTTTATAACCAGATGCCTTCACTACCCCAGTCTTTGTTTTTACTGAAATTAGCTAATAATGAGGGGGGAGGTGGGGAGAGCAGGCAGAGGAGAATAAAGACAACACCTCCCCTCAAAGCACAGTATCTTTTTAATTCTGTTAAACACAGTGATGGTTTTCTTTTATTTCATCACAGTTGGTTGCCATGAAAATGCTGAACTTGTGATATCATAATCGTGATCTCATTGCAGGATCAAGTAAAAAGAGAAGATGGACTATGCAACTATTGATATTCTGTTGGATTTCATAAACAGTTGTGAGGTACTCTCTCCCCATTTTCCAAAGCCTTGTTTGGATCCACAGGCCCCAATCCTGAATATGTGGGGGGAATCTCTGCACCCACATAGCGGGGTTCCATGTGAGGGCAGGCTCTGCCCAGCATATCACATAGCAGGATCAGGGCCCTAGTTAGTATTTGCTTACATACTGTCTTTATAATATAGTCAGTGTTAAAGGCTTATGTAGCATTTTGAGCTGTTAAGACAAGTCTGTAGCTATCCATTGGCATACATATCCACTGGAGTAGTATAAGCATTTCATTGAACAGCACAAGTTTTCACCCGTGTCAGTATGGAAAGGAACCAATATGTATCAAGGACCATGCACACCCCCATGTCATTAATTTATTGTCCTCTGTTCCACAAAACATATTTTTACAAGAAGAGATGGGTTTCCTTTCCTTTTGAATAATGAAGGTCTAAGGAATATTAGCTGCTAAACCAAGACTCCAGTTGCACTGCTCTCAGCACAGTACTTGGATGTAAAAATGTAGCTAATGTTGAAGCTGAAACATTTATAATATTGAAGAGATACATTTATTAATCAAGCAGCTACAGCACAACATACAAAGCAATCCATGGAAAATACAGCCATGTGCATTATGAAGAGGGCAAGGCTTGCTATTGTCTTTCTTCAGTTTAACTGCCAAGCTTTTTAAAAGGTTACTAAACCTCACTGATTAATGAAAGGTGCATAATCTCAGCCAGACAGTTCATAAACATTCCAGCTGTAAATCAGTCCCCCGCCCCCCCTTCTCCAAACTGATTCCTGACCAGTTATAAAGGGCGGCATGAGCGGCGTCTGCCTTCCCCTATCTTAAATGACACTGCTAAGGGAAATTAAGTTCAGCAATCACTCCGTTGTTTGAAGTGCAAATCCGGGCGTTTGAAATCGGTCCTCACCCCCAGTGTAGCGTGACTCCAGAATCACTCTGATCAGCATGTACAGTACAGCTCATTCAACTGAAACTCATCTCTTTACCCTCCCCCTCCCTACTCATTGTGATCGCTCTGGATTTTGTGATGAGCCTCAGAGGGAGCCCAAGTTAGGAACAGTGTCAGGCAGCGCGCACACACACACACACACACACAGAGGGAGGGGGTATTTCTCTCCCCTCCTCCCTCTATTAACATCCACTTACCTTTCACTTGACTTTCATACTCCGCTATAATCTCTTTGTCCTTTTTGAATCTGCTTGGTGTGGACATTATCCAGGCGGCGTTTCTCCGACGAGCTCTGAAGCTGGGTCAAATGGTCATAAAGCAGAGACCCCCCGGGCGGCGAGGGGAGCGGCGCCCACACGCGCTAGCCCAGCAGCTGAGGGGTGGGTGGGTGGGTAGGTGGCGACTAGACTAACCCTGGCGCGGGCACCATCTCCTCCAGCCACGGCAAAGAGAGCCCAGCCCCGGGGGCAAGGCGGGGTGGGAGGCAGCCGCGGCGGGGGACCCGCTCCCTCTGCACAGGGCTAGCGCCGAGTCCCGCTGCTGCCCCGCACCGCTGTCATGTCTCCGCGCACCAGAGGCGGTGGGGTGGGGCGGACAAAGGGTAGGGGCGGCCGGGTCAGCTCCTCACGCCGGGCTCCTCAGCAGCCACGGGTTACTCCAGCTGCTGCCGCCGGCTGGGAGAGCAGCGAGCTGACTAGCCCGAGGCGACAGCCCCACGCGCCGCAACTCCAGGCCCGAGGCGGAGAGGCGTCCCTGGGGATAAAGTTCTCGCCTCCGGCGTGTCTCTCTCGCCCCGCGGCGCCCGCTCCCCCTGCTGCTGCTGGCCTGGGGCAGGAACCCGGACTGCGTCTCCGCCGCCAGCCCACAGCCGCCACTGCCAGCGACCCGCCCACCCCGCCGGCAATGGGCAGGGAGGGAAGCTCGCACGCTACCCCCCCGGGCGAGCAAGCGCCGGGCTCTCGGCGTAGAGCGAAGCCTCTGGCGGCCAACCGCAGCCGCCACGCCCTCCCGGCCCCCCAATGGAGGGGAAGGGGAAGGCCCCAGCAAGCTAGGCTGCCCGGCTGCCTCCCGTGGAGCAGCCCAGCCCCGGAGGCTGCTGAGCCAGCCTCGGCTTTGGCAGGGTGGGATCAGCTGCTGCAGCCGGTGTCCTCTCCCGAGAGCATATGGTGAGCGGGTGTGAGCTGGGGAAAGGGGTGTGAGGCGGAGATAAGGTGATGGAAAGCCCTTGATCCTGGCGTGGAAAGTTAAATCCACACGCTGCAGCAGCCGCCGTCGCGGCGGAGCCATATGGAGAGGGGAGGAGGAAGGTGGGCAGGCTGGGAAGAGACCATTTCGTTTGAGGATCACGTTTACTTCCCCGTTACAGTCATAGTAAAGCATTGTTTCTTCTTGTTCGTTTTCAGTAGAGGTCACGCCCTCTATCCCCCACTCCTAGTACCGCAAACGTCGGGCAGCACGAGACGCTGGAGGGCTAGGAGGAGCCCAAGAAAACCTGCGAGCTGAATGAAAACGGTTTAATTTCCTTTATCATTAACAACATTTTCTATAACCTCAGTCTAATGAGGCTGCTGCCTTTCTGATACGGCTTATTCACAACAAGAACCACATCACTCCACTAGATCTAGGTGTAAGACTAGAGATGGGAAAGCACTTGCATTCGCCAACTCAAATCATAACATATGAATTAACATAAATTGTCATTTGGCAGGTTAGAAGAATACACCACTTTTTTTTTTAATGGATGGGGTGGGAACCACAGGTGCTGACTTTTGTTTTTGCCTGTAGGTACTCCTCTCTAACCCCTCCCTCCACCTTTCCACGGTGAGTGGCAGGCAGGGTCTCTGGGGGAATAGGCCAAGAGTGGCAGGACCTGAGAGGGGGAAAGTGGGGAGAGGCCAGGCAGGGCCATGGTCTGGGTGGCTGGTCCCACAAACGATTAATCTGGCCCTGTAGGTGCTGAGCACCCCCTATTTTTTTCAGTGGGTGCTTGAGCCCTGGAGCACCCACAGACTCAGCTCCTATGGTGGGAACATCAACTGCAGCAGATTAAGGCCATAGGCACCTAGCTTCCACCAAGTGAGAGAGGGGAAATACAGAAGTCTTTTTAGTAACTTTAGAAGAAATTGTATCTCAGTGCCCCAAAGATCTAAAGGAAAGGAAGAACGGCTGGCAACAGAGAAGATGGCTAGAGGTGGGAGGAATTGAGAGTATGCCACTGGCCCACAAATAAAAAAACCCCGGAGTTCAAACTGAAGTATGTGGTCTGTTAACATTACTGGTGTCCACGGACTCTGAAGATACCTCATCTCCCCTCCTCTACCACTATTGGGAATAGTTCTGTCCTAATTGCTGAAGTTTTGGGGGGTCTGGAACCTGGTTCACCCTCTGTAACCCTACAAGAGGGCTACACTCTATAGGACTGGTGCAATTTTAGATCATTGGTACAAACTCTGGAGGCAGAATTTTCTCGGACGCTGACCCTAGGTCTACATGAAGAAGAGCTCTGTGTAAGCTCGAAAGCTTGTCTCACTCACCAACAGAAGTTGGTCCAATAAAAGATATTACCTTACCCATCTTGTCTCTCTGTCTTCTCTATGTCATTCATTATTTTCCAAACCTTTGTCATGTCCCCTCTTTTCCCCCTACCAGAGAGTTATCTTACCCAGACTTCATGCATATTGTCAATCCTGATGGAGCCTAGCTAAAACCTCCCTTTCAGCCCAGTGAAGGCTATTTTCAAAGTTGTTTCTGAAGCTAATTTAGTTCTGAGTTTGACCTACAAATTATATCCTATATCAAATTATATTCAACAAGAGACACAAAAGCAGTTAGTTGCTACCTAGCCCTGACTTTCCTCAACACACTTGATGCTCACATTTTGTCTAGTGGCTGCTTGTAGCTATGTCCATCTGTTAGTCAATGACATGCTGAGTCACAGAATGATAGGCCAGATTCACTAGAGTATAGGGTGCCTAACAGATAGGGGATTAGCTGGAAAGATAGCATAATTACGCAAGTGCTGTCTTTTCTTCAGGAAGTCCATCCTTTCTATTTGTCAGCCATGCCTCATGGCTGCCAAAAGCCTTTTTATCCTTGATCACACCTGATTGCACTCAAGTTCTCAAATAACAAATAGTAATAATGAAGTAAAAAAAACAATAAAGAGTTCGAGGGCACATATAGTTGCCAACAAGATGGACTATGTTGTCATAAGTATCTAGGAATTCCTTAACAACAAGGAGTCTGGTGGCACCTTAAAGACTAACAGATTTATTTGGGCATAAGCTTTCGTGGGTAAAAACCTCACTTCTTCGGATGCATAGAGTGAAAGCTTATGCCCAAATAAATCTGTTAGTCTTTAAGGTGCCACCAGACTCCTTGTTGTTTTTGTAGATACAGACTAACACGGCTACCCCCTGATACTAGGAATTCCTTGGGGAACGGAGAGGGTATCGAACCATAATACAAAAAAATAGCCTGAAGATATTGCGATGGCATAGTTGTGTAAGCTGCCTATGCACCAGCCTCATTCCCAAGTAATTAGGTGGACACAGCCCCCACAGAAGAACACTTGCCCCATGTAATAGGGCTACCAGACACCTCAGAGGGTTATAGTCACAATTTGTTAGTTTGTTTTTCTCCCTACTTTTAGAGCCTAACAAGAACATTACTGTCTTAGCCAGAGGAAGACAACATTAATTGACACCTCCTTTTACCAAAGGTCCAAATAAAAAAAAAATCCCTAATCCCCATACTAAGCCACAGGTAAAAGAGGGAATCTTCCTTTGACCCATTCCAAGTGTCTACAACCACAGGATTGCTTTCTACAGCCAAGAGCCCAGCTGGAAAAACCCCACCAAAAGCACCAGTTCTTACTGTGTTTACAGTCTCTCGCAGAAATATATCTCATTGTTCAGCGGAGAAAAATAACTCCTTTCCCCTAGGCCCACCTATCCGCTCAACCTGTCTCTACTTCTGGAAGCCTCTGGTTCCTTTGCATGCCTTGTTACAAGGCAGAGCTGTCAGTTTTATTGCTCAGTAGTTTGCCACAGTTTCAAACTCTTCTTATCTCCAGGTCTAACAGCTCAGGCGATCTTTAAGGGCTAGCTTCCTCCTTTCTGCCCCATGAAAGGGTTGAAATCTTTCCTATCTATTTGATCACTGATAAAATGGATGAAGACTCCTTTAAGCCCCTTCTTGGTTCACAGAGGGGCAAGGTACACCCGCACCATCACACCCAGATAAACAGACTACCAATAGAAAGTGCATAACAACAGCCATGAAAGAACAAGGAGCTCTAAGCACTTTCACTGGGAAAAGTCAAGAATGAAACTGTAAATGCAAGGTCTGCCTGAGAAGTGGTTTGGAATCTAGGCGTTACAGAAGTTATGTCACCTAGCTGCTGCCCACAGTTAGCCCTTGGATAGAAGTGGGACAGCATAGAGGGTGTGTATACGTGTGTTTTGGAGGGAGCTGACCATCATAGATGAATCTACACTAGAAAATTTTGTACCAATTTTCCAGCAATGATGTACCTGGTCAGACCAGGTCTTCATGATGTGGTAGGGAAAAAAAAAAAAAGCTGAGCCCTGCCTACACTACCATTTAAAACACTGCTAACACAAGTACGTGGAAAATGGGTACAAAATTTTCTAGCATAGACAAGACAAAGCCCATGGACATATCTGTTAAAACAAAAGCAGATACATGTGTTTCTCTTAAAGAGCAATTGTCTGTGAAGATACAAATTTCACAGTCTGCCTCCAGAGATCTCTCTCCCATGTGTCAAGATGATTGCTGGTTAATTCAGTATGCTTAGCTCACTTGCTAGTGTGTCAGCAGTGGGAGCCACCTTCCATATATGGGCATAGAGAGATATACCGGTATGTATGCATGTTCGATGGCAGGCCGGGGAGCCTGCCAAAGTCAGGAGTCAGAGCTCTTTGTGAGCTGCAGAGATAAATTTTGGTTCCTGAATTATGCTGGAACTCCAGGGCAACCAGCATGAGCTGGCCGAAAACCCTGCTTTTTTTTTTTTCAAGGATTGGGAAAGGATTGTATGTTATTACATGGGCGTAATCTTCTTTTAAGATGTTTCAGGGAGTCAATGAGCTCAAGTCTGGACTAAATTCTGCACTGATTTACATTGCATGCAATCCCACTGCAAAGACTTCAATCATAGAGTGCAAGTCCCACAGAATTTAGGCTTTTATGTTAGCATGGGCTCTATAATATCAGATATGAATATGGGAGAGGAGCTTTAAAGGGAGTAGCAGGTTATTACAGAAAAGCTTCTTTTTAAAGAAACGGCTTTGAAGGTCACCTTCTAAATTAATGCTACCTTTAAAAAAGTCTCCATGTTTTTTAACCTATCTCTGGGCCTCATCCTACTCCCACAGAAGTTTGTGTAAAGCTCCCTTTGATTTAAATGGAAACTGGATCGGGCTCTAGTTCTCCTTGAACATGGCATTTTTTTTTTTCAACCATTAACAATAAAATGGCTTTCTCACTGCCCCCTGTACAGTCCCCCATAAATTAATTTGATAATGGTTAGGTGTCAGACAGAGAGAACACTCCGGCTTACTATTCTGCTAGACATTGTATTTGATAAACTTAACATGCTTGTTCCAATATTAATGTGTGTGTATATATATAATTCTCTAAGGAACAGGCACTGGTTTAGCTCATGGCTAGAAATACAGTAGGTTTGATTCTGCTTTCACTTACATGGTGTAAAACTAGTGTAACTCCATACATTTCAACAGATTTACACCTGATTTACACTCATGTAACTGAGAGCAGAAAAAAGTCATCTGTCCAATGCCCTGTCACAAATTTTGCCTTTGCATCTGAGACAGAGACATTTTTTGATTGATTAACTTT